CCTCCGCCGACATCATTCGATTAGGATATCACATTCATATCAAAGAATGTGATATGGGAAAATGCCTGACCTTCCTTGAAGTTCACATCTGCCCCGTGACCCTGAGCACTCGTGGTAGTTTAGCGTAGTGGTCAACGTGTCGAGATTGTACCCTGCACCGTCATGGCTCGAGTCCCGCTGGGCGAGGTGGAGCCTTCACTCCACTTCTGGATGAAAAACACTTTTTGGGACAGCAAAGTTATATGCAATTGCATGGAAACGCCAGCGCTATTCATAGCATTGTGTGAGAATTCAACTAACAGTCCTTCATCACCTAAACAAAAAAGAATGAGCACATTTTATATTTCATTCTTACCGACATATTCAGTCGGGATATGCATGTATCTATGCCCTAAACCTGATGAGGCAACAATGCGATGTGGTCAATTCCAGTCGTCCTATAAGCATTTGCGTGTTTGTACACACAACTAGCAGTAATTGCGCCCTCGTTACTCCTCAGCGGGACTCGAACCATGACAATTCAGCGTACAATTTCGCCACGAGGTTATGCCAATTTAATACAGCTGAAGAGGGCTGACAGACAGTTGTTCCACATCACAGCTTAGAACATACCCTGTCCCAAATCCTCTGCCACAGTGGCCGTGCTGATTTCCGGCCTCGATCTGGGATCTGGTACATTCACAGACGTTTCGCCGGCATTGCCACTGAGCCTTGTTGTTATCAGCACTGGGCCAAAGCATGTTCACATCGGCAGACTCGGTTGAGGAGCCAATGGAGACGGTGGTATCGCCTCCGTAAACCCGCGTCCAAGGACGCATCTTTGGGGTGGACGAAAGCAGGCAGTGGCAATCGGTTTTCGAACGCTCGCATGCAAACAGACTACAACAGATCAATGCTAATCCATCGTCGTGAGATTGGCCTGTGATTCTCTTTTTTGCACACTTTCATCCGAACTCAAAGTTGAGTAAACACTGGCGCACAATAAGCTAGCCGGAAGTGGTGATGGAGAGAAATTAAGATTTGGGCGCGGCCGAAAGTGCAGTCCATCCTGGACGATGGTACCTTTTGAGAGGCAAGGCTAAAAGCAGAAAAGGCCTCAACAATGAATTCTTAAACTGCCTTAAACAATACCATATCCGTTCGGCAGAGAGCTGGTCAAAGGATGGATATCATTAGTCTTCATAAAGTGTTGTGATTCGGTGTTCAACCTTTGAGAATAGGCCATATCAGCGATCCGATACTGACAGGACGACAATGACAGTGAACCATGACAAAAATGCAAATCGAGGTCAGACCAACTCTGCACTGCGTAGGGATACCAAACCTCTGATATGTTCCGGCAAGTTTAGCACCAAGTCGCTAACCCTGAGAAGGAAAAGTGAAGTCCATCCTTTGACCAACTTTGTGCTAAACGGACGTGGTATTTTTAAGGTAATTTAAGGACCGATTGTCTTGCCACTAAAAAAGGTGCTCTCGTCGAGGATGGACGGCAGTTTCGACTTCTCCTGAATCTGATCAGCACTCTCTACGGGCTGTGGCATATCCGATGTCCTATCCTACTTCCTCTATCAACACTTCTGGCCTGTTTAATTTGGTATCATTGCTGAGCTCATCTCCATTTCTGCTGAAGGTGTGCGTCGAAAAGACTTGTAAAATGATCCAACCAGAAGGCGGCGACCGATTCCACTTTGTCTGTCGTCGATTCGTTTTACTGGAACATTCCGGTTGACGCTATTTCACAGACGGTCTCCTTATATTCCGGTAAAAACGTACCAGATTTTCTTGTCTCCGAGTAGAATATCATTCCTATCATCGTATTCACCATAACGAATCATAGAACCACTGGCCTATCCATACACGCTGTATATATTCCCATTTGAATTAGGTACTGATTGGTTTGGTTAGTCTAAGTCATATGGCAATCTATTAGCTGCTCAAGAGGGGTCTGCCGTCGTCTTGTGGAGAGATTGACCTTCCAAACTCCTCGTTGCATGCCCTCCAAATGCAAGTGAGCTCAACAATTGTAAACCAAAAGGTTCCTTGAAGCCCACCCTTCGCAGGCCTACATTTGCTGAGCTGCAGGGATCCGGATATTGATGCAACGGAACCTGAAGAAGGCAATGTAAAGCTCATTTCCATTTCGAGGGAAAGGGTATGACGAAGAGATTCGAAGTTCGACCTCATCGGAACACGACGACGGATTTATCTTGGCCATTTGTCGATTGGCTTGATTGGATCATTCTTGTTGCTGCTTTCCCCGAGGCAATCTTCTCTGATTACGGTGAAAATATTCCGGTCTTTCGTCGGTCGTATGGCCGACATCATCAGAGCATTTTATCATTCTTGCAGCCAACTGGAGCCAATGAATGAATGGCTCGGTGATGAGAATCACGAATACAATGGCAGAGGACTTCCCTGAGGTCTCCCTGATGCCTCGACCAAGTTGCGAGGGTTAAGTCGAACCACCAATAACTAATCATCCTATTTCGTGTAAGGTGATGAAGGACTGGTAGTGGAGTTTTCCCACGATGATATGAACAGACCTAACGTCTCGAGACTGGTTGAAGGAATCTATTGGTCGATAATTGTTGGATTCATTTCTCTCTATGATTAAGGCATGTGATGATGTGATTCGAAGTTAGATAACATCAAACTTGATTGCTTGATTTTTCGTGCAATTGAATTTGGCATTAAGATTCATCGCAGTGGACTCCTTTTTTCGAATACTCCAACTTTGTCCTGTATTCAGCATGTTCGTCACCATCGGTAATATCGCTCAAACTCAACTTGAAACACTTCAAGGTAGCAGCACTTAGCTTATCGTCCCATACTATTGGGAAGTTTGATTTGTAACAAAAAGAAATGTAATCCATTTCTAATTTTCCCTGCTTAGTTGAGCTAGTGTTCTTTATTAACTTTGATTGGCACACGTGTAGCTCCCGCAGCTGTGAAAGACGCGGATAGAAATATGTCGCTTAAACCAGACTTTCTTGATCTCGATAGTAAATGTTCAGATTAAAGTGGCAAGTACGGAAAAAGAGTTGACTTGATTCGTAGCTCTGCTAGAAGAAAGACGTGCCAAACTAGCTAAGAAGAAAACATATAAATAAATTTGCATAAAGGAATAGCGGTGAAATTTGAAAACCAATCTTTAAGTATGGATAGCTGATAATAAGGCTAGTCGTGTGGCCAAGCATGTTCCAGTAAAATCAAGTAACCATATCCTTGTTAATCATAGAAACCTGAATGAGTCATATCACATGCTTACTCTTGCTAAATTTTTGGCTAATATCAAATCTCGCTTCGGTAAGTACAGATATATCTCATGCGAGATAGCCATTCAATATGCTCCCAGTTAAGATTTTCTCCAGAATGCTGTTAGACAAAAACCACGATTGGTATTCCGTCCAAATTCAGTCGAATGAACACAACCACTCGGGAAGTAGAAAATTGCAACCAAGGCTCTTCGGAGATGCATACAATGGACAGTCTGAAAGTCTCGAGGCAGGCAATTGGAGATAATAAATGTCAAAATGATAATCATACTATCAATGAGATGATCAGGGCGACGATGCCAAGGAAAGTGAGTATGAGCGGTATTACCGATGGTGACGACCATGCTGAATACAAGAAGACAATATTGGGGTATTCAAAAACAGCAGCAAGCTACATGTCGTTACTTGTCTCTTAGGCGAGTTGTATCTTGGTTCTGAGAATGACAAGATTCACTTACGATGCTGGGGAAACTACTGAAAATGTACCAAGTTTACAGTCCGAGGCTGAGAATTATTCTAACTACTATAGCAGAGGGCTTCGGGCAGATCGTGTCCAACTAGGTCGCCCTGACAACACGACCAAGTTGCGAAAACTAGGTCAACCCATTTCTTTACCTTATTTTATTTAACTTATTCGACTCCATTTCTTCCTTACTGTTTATTCACAGTTCCACAATGCGCACCAGACTGCCATTCACAAAGGCATGAACAATGAATCCAGGGCGTAGTTATGATTATAATTGCAGGATGACTCATTCCCCAAATCCATCTCACGGGCAAAATTGGAACTACCTTGTCTCCTAATTCCGAACACCACTTTGAGAGGGTTATTGTCTCCCACATCACACCCACATCTTTTTTTGTCAAACTGTACCGGTGTTGCCCGTGCTTTTCAGGTCAGAAAGCCTTCAGCCCTGTCAAACATTTTGTAGGTGTTGGAGCACTTTTCATTTCGTTTAAAGAGGCGAATGGATTCATCGGGGTCGCAGGCCTGTGCGCCAAGGCCCTAGCTACAGCTGCAATGTAATTCCCTACAGCTTCCTGAGAAGCCAATTTACGAATCCCTTCCACTCTCCTCTTCAAACTAAATGAAAGTTACTCTAAAATAAATCTATCAAGGGAGTTCTCGAAACCCAGTTTTTTTACATATTTTGTAGGTACTTTGGACTCTCTTCCTGGTCCGACAGTTGTGACCCTTATCTTCCATACAAGTTCTCGCCTATCCCATTGGCTCAGCAGGAGAGGATCCTCAGTTCCTCCGCACACTGGGCTGTACTCTTCCATTGCTATGCAGCAATTTTCGACTTGTGGACATCACGACTTCTGTTAGATTCGCTCTTCACACGATAAACTGGTCTCTACTGGCGATTTGCCGTAGTTTTACTAGACAATTTCGGCTTACTTTGTTAACATTTGGTTCGTCGATGTCACCGGGAAACTGCTTGTTGTTGTTGTTGTT